GGGCGGCGGGGGGGTGGGGGGGAAGGAAGCTGCCTCGGGGGGGGGGGACGGACGAGTCGCGCAGGCGGGAGAGGGGAGAGGGGCCGTGTTTTCTTCCTTGCTTCAAATCCAGGCTAGCGGGCGGGCTTGGCCAGCTGGCCCCAGGGAGCCTGCGACCGCCGGGGCTTCAGGGGTTAAATCAACGCACCACAAATTGAGGAACAAGATTAGGGAATAAGGGATCCTACTAAATTCCTCGTGATCCCAAAGCCATGGGATAAATGGAACGAGGCAGCGTGAGTCACTCCGGAGAGGAGCAGCGTCTCGACGGGGAGTCAGCCAGGAGGCCAGACCACCCGCTGCGGGCAGAGCGGCGAAGGAACGCGGCGCGGCGGTGAGGCCTGCCGCCGACGGTCACACCAGAGTACACCTCGGGTACCGTTCTGCCTACTAGAATGTACCTCCCTAGGTGTTGAACAGCCTTTTAACTTCATCTTTACCGGTCTAGATGTGTCTTGCGTCTTGCCTTTGTCGGCGGGGTGCTGGGGCGAGCAGGAGGGGCGAGGCGAATCGTGGGCTCGCCGGGAGGGTGGTTTGTGGGTAAAGGGCCGACGGTCACACCAGAGTACACCTCGGGTACCGTTCTGCCTACTAGAATGTACCTCCCTAGAAGGTACGTGTTGAACAGCCTTTTAACTTCATCTTTACCGGTCTAGATGTGTCTTGCTATTTTACTTTGTCGCCGGTCATCCGAAGAGGACTTGTCGCAGCTGTGGGGTTTGGGTTTCCACGGTTCTGCTGCCTGGCCCCTGTCGGATCGCTGTCGTAGGCCGTTTATGGAGGTGGTGTTCTGACAGCGCCGACACCAACAGCAAAACCTGGGTCGGTTTCTCTGGTCGCGGTGGTTTCTGTGACGTGCAGATGCTATAGAGAAGGACTTTATATTAATTATATATTAAGTTATAGAATCTGGCTTTGCATATACATTTTGTGTACAGTTGCTAGCAAAGATTTTCACCCCTCTTGAGCCGTAGGAGCTGCAGATAATGGCGGCGTGTGCTGTTACGATTTCAGGACCCCGGCTTGCTGGTGATGGAGAGCGTCTCTTCTTCCCCCTCACCCTTCTCTGGCAGTTCCCCCACCGTGCAGTCTGAGAACGCCACTGCCCACGACTACTACTCCGGCCTCCAGAAGAGCATGCACGTCCTCTCCATGGTGGTGTACAGCATCGCCTGTTTGCTGGGGGTGACAGGGAACGGCCTCGTCATCTGGATTGCAGGCTTCAAGATGAAGAAGACGGTGAACTCCGTCTGGTTCCTCAACCTGGCCATCGCTGACTTCATCTTCACCTTTTTCCTGCCCCTCAGCATCGCCTACACCGCCCTGGGCTTCCACTGGCCGTTCGGGAAGCTCCTGTGCAAGCTGAACAGCACCATCGCGTTCCTCAACATGTTCGCCAGCGTCTTCCTCCTGACGGTCATCAGCATGGACCGCTGCGTTTCTGTGGCCTTTCCCGTCTGGTCTCACAACCGCAGGAGTCCGGAGCTGGCGGCCAGGATCGCACTGGGCACGTGGGTCCTGGCTCTCCTCCTCAGCTCCCCGTACCTCGTCTTTCGGGACACTGTGGTCAGTTCCAGGAACATCACCAGCTGCTATAATAATTTTGCACTGTCTGACGACTACACGTCTGAGGCAACGCGGAGGCTGTGGAGGATGCGGCATAAAGCGATGATCATAACGCGATTCTTATGGGGGTTCCTCATCCCTTTCACGGTGATTCTCATCTGCTACAGCATCGTTGCTGTCAAGCTGAAAAGGCGGCAGCTAGCCAACTCTGCGAAGCCATACAGAATTATCATTGCTGTCACAGTCTCGTTTTTCCTCTGTTATTTCCCCTATCACGTCTTCTCCTTGCTGGAAATATCCAAAAACTCTTCCAGTCATGAGATGAAAATGGCCCTTTACATAGGGATCCCCTTGGTTTCCAGCCTTGCCTTCTTCAACAGCTGCATCAACCCCATCCTGTACGTATTTGCGGGGCCGGATTTCAAGGAGAAGTTTCGCCAGTCCATCCTGTCGACCTTCGAAGGGGCCTTCAGCGAGGAGTCGGTCCTGGGCAGCCTGACCAGCAGGCGAAAGTCCAGGTCTGCTTTGGAAGCGGAGGTCCCGAGGGTCTGAGCGGGCGCTGGTGTCCTGCGTTGCCGGCACCGTTGGAGGGGGCAGTTCTCTTCTCTGCAATTTCCCCTCATTTCAGAGCTATAATCGCAGGACTGGGGGCTGCAAAGGGCTGTGCGTGCTAACGAAGTGCGATTTGGTGTTTTGGAGGTATCTCAAACCTACTATGACTTCATATACTATGGAAATTAAACAACTCTCTGGAGCCGCAGCAGGGTGGGAAAGTCCGAGCACATTTTGCTCCTTGTGCCACTTCCTTGGCTGCCTTGTTTCCCTGTACCTTTTCCATCCCCTATGGTCCATCATACCTGGCAAAACGTCTCCCTGGTTGGACGTGCTGAGAGGGCAACCACAGCCTGGGTGGTGGCTGCCAGTCGTTAGACTTGGCTGCCTCGGCGCTGCCGATCTGTTACAGCTTCCAGTTTTTAACAGGCAACCCTTTACAAAATTCGCCGAGTTTGTGACCCTGCTGGCAGAGCTCCCTTTACTTTCCTCTCCTCTGGGGCTCCCAAGGAGGGAGCCCTCGGGTGCTCTCCGCGCTGCCGCCCAGCCCAGCCCGGGGTCACCCTGTACACGACCGGGGGAGGCAGTCGGGGACAAGTCCTGTTTGCATCTCCGTGGGGTTCACCCGCCTGCAGTGCATTTGCACATGGCGAGCCGA